TGAAGCCTCCGGATGCTCCTCATGGGGAGCCCCATGTATAGAGCATTACAGTAGTCCAGGCGGGAGGTGACGAGGGCATGAGTGACTGTGCGCAAAGCGTCCCGGTCCAGAAAAGGGCGCAACTGGTAAATCAGGCGAACCTGATAAAACGCCCCCCTGGTCACGGCCGACAAATGGTCTTCCAGTGTCAGCCGTGGATATAAAAATGAATGTCCTCAACTTTGTTAAGTACCGTATTTTCCGGCGTATAAGAAGACTTTCTAAACCCTGAAAATCTTCTCAAAAGTCGGGGATCGTCTTATACGCCCAGTCGTCTTATACGCCGGAAAATACGGGTATTCTATTTTATTCTTTTACACATGTGGTTTGGCATATTACTCATCAAGTTTTCTCTCCCCCACCCTCTCTCTCGCTCAAACTCTATATTTTAACTGGAAAAGTTGGGGGTCGTCTTATACGCCCAGTCGTCTTATACGCCAGAAAATACGGTATTTTCCCTTTTTGTATTTACGATAGCATTTTTAGTTGATATGCATTTATATTTAAGCATAGTAAAAGAGCTATGCTTTTACCTTACACCTTCATTTCCTTAATATTTGTAGGGGATCAACATAACCTGAAGCCCCATGCAAACTCTCACATCATAATTACAATCAAGGAGATTAAACATCATAATTACAATCAAGGAGATTAAATTACCTTAAGTATAATCATATTTCAACTATTTACAGGAAAACATACGCTATCTGAACATGGAGGCTAGTTTTTGTAAATTACAAATATTATCATTTTATGCTATATCCTAGTTCAATCCCAGCTAGAAACATTGCAAGACATAAAATGCTACAGAAAAATTATGGATTCAAGTAAGACAACAGCAATAGTGATGCTGGTTCATCTGGCACTTGCAGAGAGGTTGCCACAAACTGCTTTGCACAGATAACATTAAGCAAGCCAGCTGGCCGCCACTATGTGCACCAAATTTATATTTATTTATTTATTTATTAAATTTATATACCGCCCTATCTCCCTTGTGGGACTCAGGGCGGTGAACAGGCGATACTAAAAACCACGAATAAATAAATAGTTTCTGTTTTAAAATATACCTCTGCTTATACTTATTTTGATGTACATTTTAAAAATAGATTGCTCTTAATTTTGCAGAATTTATAAATATTTGACCTAAGCTCTTATCTAGGTTCAGTAAGGAGAAAGGGGAAGCCTAGCAGATTTACTACATATATTTGCCCTTGGCTTCCTTATGCAGATATAAAAACTCAAGAACATATCATATCTGAATACAGTGCAGCCATTTTTAAAGTCTGGAAAACCTCAGAAATGGGAAAAATGTATTTTCTTTTCTCTAAAAATATGCCAATACACAATTCTTTCATATCTGTACCTTGAATACTGACAGAGCACCCCAATATAGATTTACATGTGCAGAGGCTGGAATATTCAACAACTCTCCAATTCCACATATATTACCAAATACTTACCTCGGAGCTAACAAAAACATTAAGATTGGACTTCAGTAGAAAAAAAATCTAACTTTACATGTTGATAGAATGTGGATATTATGATTACTGTTCAGTTATATTCAACTGCAGTCAATGGTTATGGGGGAAATTAACTGACATGATATTTACCTTCCATGAGCATGAAAATCTAAGCGCAGAAATTGGTCTTCGTGGGAAACTGCTCTTTTGGCACGCTGGTGTTTTTGGTGTAATGAATCCACATCGTACGACAGTCCTTCATAATGTCTTATATATTTATTTAGAGGATTTCCATACTGACCTGCAAACAAAGGAGTGGATGGATATATTAATCACAAGCATAGTCTACAGTACATTTAAATTTTTGCTAACAAAAATGAATGATTCATTAATAGAAAAAGCGATTATATTATTTGAAAAGCATAAAAGCTTTTCATAATGTGAGTGATGTCAGAACAAGGAAATAGAGCTAATACAATTAAAGCTGTAGCAGAAAGAAGAAACACGAGAGTATGCAGAAAATAGAAATTATGAAATGAGTGGACATGAAATTTAAAAGCATATTCAAATTACCCTGCACATGTTCCATTCTAAAGTTTCTCTTCAAGTACAACTAACAAAAGTTTTCCAAACACAAGTGCAACTGTCCACCTGAGGCCAAGGTGTTTTCTTGTCCCCAAATTGAAGGACGTGTTTTTTTTCTGTCCAAAAGTACAAATGTACTGACAGGGAGTTTGTAAACAGCTATCATTAGGTTCTTCTTTACACAAATGACAATTGCACGCAACACTGCCAGGCTTTTAGTAAACTCCTTTTTCCAACAGAGAAAGAATTATTTTGTATCTCCAGACTGACAAAGCTGCCAGACTGTTCCCCATTTCTTTGGTTAAACAAGCAATTTGTGGAATGCAAATTAATCTAGTAAGCAAAAAAGGCAAAAAGATATACTCATAAAACTTACATAGAAAAAATAGTAAGTTTATAGAAAGCTATTTTAGAGCAATTGGATGATAATTTAATTATCTGATATGAAAACAGCTATCATTTGCAGAACTGTGTTTCATCCATTTTTAGTTAATTATTCAATCAGCCACAACAGCAGCAAGATGCAATGACTGTAGTGCATTAGGTTGATTTACTAGAATTCAGTATCACTGCTTTGCTTTCTTTCAGGGAGGCAGAAATTCCAAAAACATTCGTGCTTCTTTGGTCACTGGAAACAATAATTGGTATACTTGCTTTCATTTCCTGTTCTCCACACATGATTTATAGAAACATACTGTACTTGGCAAATCTCAGTATTATGACAAAACTTACTTTGGGAATTTATTTAAGTGAAAAACAAAACCCCCAACTTACCAAATATGGCAATATGTCTCTTTTTTCCAAGGGTACTTTTGTAATTATAAAGCGAATGCAGGATTTATTTAAGATATCAGTTTGATATCAGTTGAAAATGCAGTTATCAAATCTGCCAGGATGCATGCAGTATATCAGTCAACCAGCACTGAATCTATGATTCAGATGAAAGAGGTTTTTTGTGTTTTGTTTACCAGCAATACCTATGCATGCCTCTTTGGTCTAGTGGTGGAAGAATAATTGTTTGTATAAAGTCTACACTTATTCTGTGCACGGGCTGGTTCCAAGGTTTCCCATCCCTTGTTGCAGAGTAACTACAAACTGGAGACTTTCATCATGTCAAAAGAAACATTAGATTGTAAACACTTAGGAAATAGTTAACAGAAAATATATTATTCTGACACTTGTATTTATTTTTCAGTCTAAACATTCAACAAAGTTTTTTCAACTACTTCTTTATTAGCCTCAACTATTATAGACAGTGTTTTTGGCCAAGAATAGGAAACAGTGACTTAACAAAGATGATTAAAATGAATGGAATCTGACTTATTACAAAGCTCTTAAGATCAGCCTTCAGGCTCTGACTTTCCAAAGGACAGGCTGATATGTTTATAGGATTCCACAGTGTGTCTGACATCAAAGTCATGATTCAATACACCATACTCTGACAATCTTTCCTGCATTTTGGATTAGAGAGTAATATTTTGTTAATTAATATCTCAAATACAATTTCATACAATTGTAAAATGGGTTCCTAAAGGAAAGTGTATTTAATTCTAGGAGCAATAGCGGTAACAAAACAATATAAATGCCACTGCTTAGTTATAGCCAGGGCTTTTTTTGTCATAGAACGCCCAGAACGGAGTTCCGGCACCATTTTTGGATGGAACCTTGTAGGGTAGGCAAGGCGGGTTGTATGACGTGTGTGAGTTCCGGCACCTTTTTTTTTTTTTTTAGAAAAAATGCACTGGTTATAGCTTACTAAACTTCATCTAGTAAGATTTTAAAAAAAGAATCCTACAGGGTGAGAAATTTCGAAGGGCTGAAAATGGAGCTTCCACCTCAGCTAACCAACAGCAAAAGTGAAGGAAATCCAAGAATGCCATGCCATTACTCCTGTGGTTAAGGCTAAGAAGATACTTCTCTCATGTGCAGTTAATTCTTGGAAAT